CCGCAGTGGTCACCCGGGTCTAGTGTTGGGGTCTGCACCCGTGACGTGGGAAGTGTTGCCGTGAGCAGGCACTGGGTCTCTCCCGCAGTGGTCACTCGGGTCTAGTGTTGGGGTCTGCACCCGTGATGTGGGAAGCGTGGCAGTGAGCAGGCAGCAGAGTCCACTGTTCTTTCTGCGCTGAGTCTGTTTGGAATTCTGCATACCCTTGGGCATGTCAGAGGGTCCACCTGGATCCTGTCGTCTCCCTTGGGCTACTTTAGAAAGTCGTGGCTCTCATCAACTGTGCCCACACTGGGGCATGCAGACCTGTTCTCCGGGGTTGGGTCAGAGCCACGTGGAAAAGCCAGTACCTCGCTTGGACTGGCACCGGCCGCCCTGCCTCTGGGGCCGTACAGAGTGTCTGGGCTTTTATGGGAGCTGGGTCGAGGAAGTGTGCAGTCGCTTGCCTACGTGTGCCGCCGTGGTTTCCGGGCCTGTGGCCATCCTCCTCCTGCTCAGATGCACGTGCTCTCACCCTCCACCCTCCTGGTGCAGCAGGCAGATGGCAGGTTTTGTTGCTAGCAGAGCGTTCAAAGTGCAGCTCCATAGAAGGTACTGGGTCTTCCCATTCCACTGTCTTCACCATGTGTGGTTCTGAGTCATTCTGATCAGAACCAGAGATGCAGAGGGTGGAGGCGGCACCCAGTGACCAAGAATCCACGTGCCCCCTCCACACTGGGCCCATGCCTGGGCATGGCCTGTGGGCAACCTTGATGAAGGCTGAAAGTGGGCTGTGTTTCCAAGGCTCCCGGCAGAAGACAGCTGGCAAGTACGTCAGGTCTTGTTCCTCGGCAGGTGTGGGGCCAGGGTCCGTGCCGGGCCCTGTCTTCAAGGGCAGGCGTTCCTCGGGAATGGAGCCTCGTGCCTGCGGGGAGGCCCCTGGGGAGGGCCATCGCCTTGCCCTTTGGAGCTGGCAGCCCTCGTGTAGATGTGAGGAGGGTGTGTGAGCACCTCTCAACGCATATTACAAAACCGAGGGGAGTCACGGGGGTGCCCGGCGGGAGCTCACTGCGTGCAGTCCAGGAAGGGCGCTCACTGTGCCCCAGGTGGGTTCCACGGTGTCTGGGGAGACGACACGGCAGCTTGATCCCATCCCCGTCTCCATTTCCAGTGGGTCCAGCTGTGAGTTCCGCATGTCACCCTCAGGCACAGAGTTCCGGCTGCCTCGAGTCACATGTTCGGAATCTCGCAGGCCCTCGTGCGTCTTAGCTGGATACTTTTTAGTGAGGTTTGGAGCCTCCTGTTTGGAGGTGAAATTGGTGTGTGGTGCGTGATCCTGACGCCTCGTGGGGGAGCCCTCCAGAGCTGTGGGGTTCTCCTGCCTTGAGCCTGACGCCAGAGGCACCCACACCTCCCTGGTGTCTTGGGCTCAAGCTGCCCCCAGCTCCCCGGTGGCCCGCCCACTCAGACCCCTCCCTCCACCTTCCATCAGATCGCCTGATGTTGGGGTCACGTTGCTGGGGTCACCCCTGTTTGGGCACCACTGCCAACTCCCCGCCTTCATCCCCGGAGACCTTCCTGCATCGGGCCCAGCCTCCAGCCTCAGGCTCCTGGAGCCTCTGCCAGGGTCCTCCTGGGCCCGGGGCCTTCTTTCTCCTGAGCGTCTCCTGTCTGTGCTGCACTGTCCACCTGAGTCCCCTGTTGCAGACCCAGGCCAGGGGTGCCAGGGAGTCCCTGGGCTTGGCCGCCTCTGAGGTGGGAGTGACAGAGCTCAGCAGAGCCCCGTGGGGTCTGCTGGATGTGGTGGGTTCCGGCAGGGCTGGGACCCTCAGGCTCTGCAGGGATCGAGTTGCACCTGAAACAGGCCCATGTGGGGCCTTCCTCTCCAGTGTCCTCACTCACCCTCTTTGTCAAAGGGCACTAGAGCAGGATCGGCTGACTGGGTGCCTGGAGACCCCTCCTGGAAGGTCCTGGGCCCACACCCTCCACATGCCCACACCCCACCTGCCTGCCAGCTCCGAGCTCTCAGAGCAGAACGCAGACAGTGAGAAGGCCCTAGGATGCTGTGTGGGTCCAGCAATGGCACCGACTGCCTGAGGATGCAGAGGCTGGGCCTGCCGAATGTGGCTGCCGGGAGTGGACGCAGCTTTCCCTGGGCCACAGTGGCCTCCCTGCACTGGCTATGAGCAGACATGGCTGCGGTTCTCCCTGGGCTGCGGTGGCCTCCCTGCACGGGCTGTGCCCAAATGTGGACATGGCTCTCCTGGGCCATGGTGGACTGTTTCTTCCTGTGGGGTGGGCTGTGGGGGATGGGCATTATGAGTAAGGGGTGATGGCCTTCTGGGGGCCTCAGGGGTCTCTGCTGAGCCATCTTCCAGCCTCATTGTTGCAACTAGTGAAGTTAGACCCATGCCCAGCACAAGCTATGTGTGAATATGGAGGTTTCTGCGCAGTTTAGAAGCCTGCGCCTCCTCCCCTCAGCTTTTTTCCTGCGTTCAGGAGCCCTGGGCTCTGACTCCCTCGTCTTGGTTTCTCCCAGCCTGACCCTTGTGCAGCCTGCCCTGGGTGCCTGGTGCTGGTGGGGTCTGGGTGCTGCTGACCCTCAGGGGCCCCTGGGAGACTAGGGAGGCCGGAGACCCCTGCAGACTTTCCCACCGGGATTTCCATGAAGTCACTGACCTTTCAGGCTCGTGGGGGGGTTTCTGCGCTCTTGGGGACTTTCCCAAGCGGTCCCCAGTGTGTTGAGGTGTTCTTTGATTCTTACTTTCTTCAGTGATGTCCCCTTGACACGTGGTTGAGATGGTCAGCTGAACTGCAGCAGCAAAGCCATTATCACCCGCAGCAGCTCTCGCCACTCCATGTGCGCTCCTGGGCTCGGTCCTGGGCAGTGAGGACTGTTTCTCCACACTGCATGTCTGAGGGGCTGGGGCTCGGCTGCCAGGCGTTGGAGCTGGGGCTTGAGCCTGGGTCTGTGCCAGCCCTGCCGTCCTCCGCCTCCCTGACACAGCCAGCCGTCCACCTGGGTACACAGAAGTGCAGGGTGAACTGCGTGAGCTCGTTCCTAGATGCTGCTGAGCCCACAGCAGGAAAGGGGCAACCCAGCACTGGACATGGGGGAGCTACGGCACACAGGCCAGGGACTTGGGGTGCCGGCTGGACACCAAGGCTGCAGGCGGATGTCCTGCATGAGACGAAAGCTGAGTGGGTTGGGCTGTCAGCTCGAAGTTTCAGCCCTGACACGGGCCTCTGGCCTCAGGCCACCGCGAAAGGAGAAATGGCCCTGGGGACATGGCCCTGGGGACAGATGCTCCTGGCAGCTCCAGGGGCAAACATGGGCTCCATTCTCCCAGAATCGTGCAGAATCCCGCAGCCAGGACCAACCCCAGATTCCTGACCACAGTGGCACTCACTGGCAGCCTGGGAGGAATGTGCTGCCTGGGGATTGACCTGTGTGGCCTCAGGTTGTCAGGCAGGGGAGCCCTTCTCAGACCGCCTGTCCTGTTCTAAAACTTGAGTACTTCTAATGCCTGAGTTTTCCAGTTAAAAACAAAATCTTTCGATAGACATTTCAATAGAATTTAAAATAGAAACAGAATCCACAGAGTCCATGGTGCCTTGCTCCAGCCCACAAGGGCACAGCTTCAGCCAGTGAGAAGGCGGAGCAGCAGCTGGGTGCGGCCACAGTTCCACTGGGAACAGGAAGGTTCCTGAGCCTCCATGGCCTATGGCTCTAGCTGGGCCTCGGTGGGGCTCCTCCTGATTCATTGGGAGCCCATCAGGTGGCAGCCGCTCAGAGACAGAGGCAGGTCCCAGGCAGGTCCTGCTGCAGCTGTGACCAAGTCTGCCTGTCCTTCAAGCTGAGCCCCAGGGCAGGTGAGGGTGGTGGGTGGGGCCCCAAGGCAGATGTGTGTGCTTGGTGGGGGCAGATCCTGACCCCATCAGGTGGATGGGCATGGCCGGTGATGAGGACCCTCACTTCCCACCGACGCCTTCCAGCTGGTGCGAGATGTTATAACAGAAAGTGTCCCTTGGCCGGGGAGTGCCCCTGGCCGAGGTTCCCG